TATATATATATACATATATATATATATATATATGTACATATATATATATATATGTGTATATATACATATATGTATATATACATATATATATATATACATATATATAACATATATAAGGGTAAATCGTCGTTACCTTTAGAACAGCCTCTAAGGAAGTGGTTTATATCTCGTTGAAGTAGCTCTGAGTGCTGAAAAAGGCGGATTTAAGTTTCGGAAACAAACGTTAAGTTTTTAAGATATAAAAGATTCTGCGAGGTGAAAGATAGCGTCTTTTTTTTTCTTTTCCAGGTATATGTATTTTCTGACGATCCTAAACGATCCGAATACTAATCCGCGGCAGAAAATTGTCCCGGCATTTGTAATGGCTGCATTGATTGAAAACAACTATAGGTTTGTAATTTTAGTTATTGTGCTGCAGAACTACGCACTTATCTCTATGGGGTAATTTTCCGTTTTCCGTAAGCTTCATATCATTTTAGACCTGCGCAAGAACTGCTAACCGATAACAGATATGTAACACTTTGCATCGAGCTTTTGTCGGATACAGCTGTGCGACAGTGCAGATTACTGCGGTTATGGTTACTTATTGGTCTTGGGCGACTTTGGGCTGATTACGATGATGCCAGGTGGCAGGCAATTAGACTGGCTGCTTATGAAAGGGTGTGCATGGTTTTTGCAAATTCTTCAAAAATGGCCTCGCAAGAGAATTGTGATCAAAAAATTTCACTGCAGATATTGTCCATGGTTAATCCAAAGCAAGAGCTAGACTCTTTGCAGTACGTAGTAGGTGGTTTTATAGGTTCTTGAATTTCTGGACGATTCAGTTCCCGAAGTACGTGCTGCTGCAGTATATGCAATTGGATGTCTTGTAAGAAATAAGTCGGAAAATATCGAACACGCTACAATTGTACGTTTCTACATAAAATCCATCTTGCGATCCAGAATTTACTAACATTAGGAATTCATGTGGATATATAGTGTCGTTCTTCTGCTGTTGTTACGTGTTGCTTTTTACAGATTGACCATGAAGTTTGTGATAAACTTTCGATGAAATGTACATTCGATGGTTCAGTACTTGTTCGTGCTGAATTGGTTGTGGCAATGCAGTGGTTTATTATTGATTTTGAAAATCGTTTTGCCAATCTGTCAATGGATCTTAACGAAAAAATTGAACAAAAGAAATTCAGGGAGCGAAAACTTTCGGTCAAATTTTTTGTGTTTAATCGGTTACGAATTATGTGTAATCCATGTAAACATTTTATTGGACACATTGCAAATCGTTGTTGCGCGTTACATGATATGAGGGTTGCATCGATCTCGTCAAAACCAAGAGAAACTTTGTATTCATTTTTTGGTATTTAAGTGTATTTTTCTCATTTAGGCAGGAGAACAAGAAATGAAACCTTTGCGTTCAATTGACGAGGAAGATGATGCATTTGTATCTCATGGTTATGATCGTAGTCTTCCAAGGTTTACTTACATTTTAAAAATATTGTTTTTATTGCTGGCACCTCCAAGTTGTTTCGTGATTGCAGCAATTTTTTCCAGATCAGCATCTCGAAGACGAACCCATTTCCTGGAAGCTCCATTAAATTCACCTCGTAGATCAAATTCTATGAATTTCGGTAGGCACAATTTAAAAAAATCAGCTGTTGTTTAGTAGGAAAAATAGTTGAGTTCATTTCTGGTTTTGTTAGTCTTTGATCGTGGTTAATTTCACGATGATTTAATATCGCCCCGATATATACGCTTTGTGCGCAGTGACATTTAGCTGCTTCAGAGAGTATCATTTTTAATGAAGAGGAAGTGACATCGAAGACGGATACTATTAATTCCCACTGTCGTTAAAAAGTTTTATGTTTGAGTTTCTGGAGTGGTTGCGGATAAAGTTTATGCACAGTGGAAGTCGGTGTTTGATACCAGCTCATTGAATGATTTTTCCGATAAATTACTGGCTTGTACAAAGGAAATGCGCAACGAGAATTTCAAGTATGTTGTTTGTTTTTGTATTGGTGTACTTTAGCATCTCGGTCTGTAACAGTATTACAATGGATCTTACAATTCCAACGTTTCATATAATATTTCAGGAATAAAGCTATGAAACAAATTGAATTCTTGGGATCGAAAACATTTAATGATCAGTCTGAACGTATCTGGCTATCACTTCTCAGGCTTTCTCTGGATCCTGTAAACAAAATCGCTGAAATGGCACAAGTTAGTGTATCAAAGTCTTTCGTTTAAGTATTTGAATAAAAAAGCGATTTTAGCCGTAAGTTGCTTTATTTATCATGATTTTGGAGATTTGTTTTTAAAACCCAGCATCTTCACTTTATTCTCATAGCTCTGTAATTCTGGTACAGCTTTATAAGTAAAGAAAACCATTTTTTAAGGTGTTGATCGAACATGTGGACAAACTGGCAACAACAAGGCATGAGAGGAAAAAAAACTGAATTGTGTTGAACGAACATCGTCAAGCAAGGTAAATGTTGTTTAAGATGGGATTATTCTCCCGGCATCTGCATGATGGAGGTAAATTCGGAGGTATTAAAAGGAAATTGCTAGGGTGATCACGATCTGCATATATTGCTGCATCACTAGACTAGCGTATGAATGGTGTTTCGAGATTATGGTCTAACTTGCTTTGCATATTTTGAATTGTTTAAAGCTCATAAACTCCTCGGTTTTTAGCAGAATGAATCATATTCTTCGGAGACAGTAACATTTATTGTCGGTTCACCAACATTGGATTTGACGGCTACACCACCCTTTTTAGACGATAATATCCGTAAAAATTCAGAAAATACATTGCTTTTGGATTCGCGACGTCAAGAACAGTTGCCAGTGTTCCACCAGTCTGCAATCTTCACACCTAAACGAAATGTAATATCTTTGTTTTTGGTGATGAACATAATGTGCGACAGTTTGTTCCCGCTGTTGGTGTTTAAAATTTGAAGCTTCTAGTTGTCAAGAATCCACATTTTTTCCAGATGTATTCACCTACAATTAAAAGTGTAACAAAACCGGATGAGAGTTCCTCTGCAGAGCGAGAACCGGTAGTTGCTTTAGTAACAACAGAATTTGTACCATGGTGTACGAGACGATTTACTGAACCCATTTTAGATGTAATACAAGGTTTGTTAACCTAAATTAATTTAAATCACTAGTTTAGACTACTTTTCTTGTTTATATTGAAGCTTTATCAGTGAAATTTGCACCACTTCTTTGATCATAATACGATTCATAAGATGAGAAGATGAGCAGCACGTTCAGCTGCTCAAAATCTGTGCATTCTCTACTGTATGCTAGAAGTAGTCGTTTATCTTTTTTAATTATAGGGGAAGGCGGTGATGGCCTAACTGATCGTTTGGCAACTCATTCCATGCCTAGTGATTGGGCATCGCATAAAGACGAAGGTTTACGGCAAACTTCAAAAAAGGAAATTCGGTTACTCAAGGAAGAGGTTCATCAGTTGTCAAATTTTTATTTTTTTTACCTGTGGCAATTATTTTTTTGATGGTAATTATGTTACTGTAATGGGCAACTAGTAATGTGACTAAAAAGTGGTCCCACAAATTAAAAGTTCAAATAGGGTAATTTGTCTGATGACATCATAAGCCACATTCGGGATAAACTGTCTACTGTGTAATCATTTCGTTATCAATTACACTGTAATAAATAGCAGAGCAGTGCTTTTGATATTGATTTTCGTTTCACTTCTCAAGCTTTGTTGAAGAGAATTCGTTGTTTCTAGTCTATCTTTTCTTTCAGTTTTATTTTTCAGGGATTATTTTTTGATGGTCATCCGTTAACTGCAAAGACAGATGCGGTAAGCAAATGTTTGGCTTGGAGTCAAATAAGGCCTCACCTGTATTCATGTGATGGCGAAACAGTAACCATTTGGCGATGCGAATTGCAGCGGTTGTACGACGTCCGAAAGTTTCGCTGCCACAATGATAATCTCTTCGTTAATGTTAGTAGTTTCGATGTTGCTTGAAATGATTGATGTTTCTGTGGAAGACCTCTGAAGTATCGTTTTCTGCTGTTGAAATGATCATTAGGGACCTTTTCCAGCCCATTATTTATATAGAAACACTTGGTTCGAAAACAAGTTTGCAGCTACAGTTTAATTTCTGAGATGATGTAAGGTGCTAGAAATTTTTTCTTCCCTAATTTAAACATCATCACTCTTATTGAACAAAATTTTTAAGCGAATGGTTTGAATTTCAGAGTGCGTAGAAATTGCCGTGCTCAATATAATAGCGGTATCCTAGAATATAATAGCGGTATCCTAGAACAAAAAGCAAACGCTTTACGCTAGATAATTAGACATTGGTGTTAATGTTATATAGGAAAAACCAGCATTTCACTGTTATACTCATCAGTCTTTTGTGCTTCTAAGTTTGCTTTAATTTCAGGATATAGTTACTGATTTACACATAATAAATGAAATGACGCGCGAGCTGCTGATGACTTGTAGTGAAGATGGATTGATGAGAATTTGGGATCCAGGCTATTCCATCTATTCCCATGATTTCGAAGCGGAACAACAGATGATAACAGCTGCTTACCTTTTAAAAGATGCGCCGATTAGCATTCCAACGAATAAGCATCTTGCATCGGTTTTTAGGTGATTTTTTTTCATTTAATAGTGTTTTCTAAAGCAGTAGAGAACGACCGGGATATGTATGTAGTGCAGTATTCGTATCGATGTAATGTGATTGCATGTTGGACATGCTCCAGGTGAACACAAAGGTACATATGGTAGCTGGAAAAATGAGCAAAAATGCATCGAGATGATTCTAGTTTTTCTCCAGTGTTGTAATTCAGATAACATCTGGAAATGTCTTATAGCTTTTTCCGCATATTTCACGTTATTTCAATGCTTCCGTTTAAGTTGGAATCAAAAATGTGGCCTCATGGCAGTCTCTGGTAATGTGAAAGTATGTCGTTTGTGGGACGCCCATGCAGAGAAGATTATGCAGGAAATTCAAATTGGTGCTAAGAATTGTGCTGTCACAAAATTGAGCCTTGATAATTCAGGAAGCAATCTTCTTGCTGTCGGTATCGTTTCCCTCTGTCTCGTTTCTATATATATATATATATATTGGAAATCTTTTGATCTCCCATAATTAACACAAGAATTTAGTAGAACTTCAGTGTTAGTGTTTGAATTTTGCTGAATTTGCTGATTTGAAATTCTTATTGTTTTTTAAGCGTGCATCATGTTTTCAGGTCTAAGTGATGGATTAGTAAATGTTTACGATCCGCGATTACCTGAAAAATCGCGGCGTACAATGTCATTTCGAGAGCTCGAAGAACCAGTTATTGGACTATCACTTTTTTCTAATCTGACGGGTGAATTTTCTGAAGGGAACTTGAGGCTGATCGCCGGTTCAAGAGATGGCGAAATACGTTTATGGGAGCCACGAATGTTCAAGGTTTGTCTGTCACTCTTTCTTACGAGGATTTTCAAAGCTAGCATAGGCTTTTTGTTTTAACACATTCTGGCTTTAAAACTGGGGTTAGTTGAAGTTTGAAATAGTTCATAAAGTTTCAATTGCAGGAACCGGTAGTGAGTTTTAATGGTTGCAGTTCCCCGAGAAAAGATAGCTTAACAAGTATGGAAGTTCACACCCACAGTCAGGTATTTCTTTCCATGTATTCTTTTGCCTGTAGAAAAATCCGAGCTTATATTCAAGTCTGCGCGAAAAAGCTATGTTGACCAATATAGTTGTTTAAAGAACATACTAGCAAGAAAAGTTCACATTAATTATTTGTTTCAAGCTGTGTGTTAATGTCGTGCATCGATTTTTTTTTTTTATTGTTCCACCGACTCATTTTAGTAAACAATCAATTTTCCAAATGATTTATTCATTTGCTGGCTGTCTGAAGGTTGGGTGAAAAATTTTAAAAGTTTTTAAATATTTGATTCTAGTGTGGTACGATACTGGTTCTTGGAATTAGGCTGTATGCTTTGCTTGAGTAATTAGCATCAGCACTAGTAATTTTCAGTATTTTAATGGTTGTAATTGGATTTAGTTTAGTTTGGCAAGCAAACTTTGCACTTTTAAATATATTTCGAATTCATTTTAGTGTGTTGGTTGTGTGGATGATGCTGCCGTAGTAAAGTTGTTTGATGTGAACGGCAAGCAATTAGGTGAAATTCGCCAGGATGATTGGTTAGTTGGTGGTCGTATCGGAACATTGACATCAATGCGTTTTCATCAGCTACTTGTATCATTAGCAGTAGCTACTGAGAGTCAAATAATCAGTTTTTATCGAATGCCAGATTTGTCATAGTTCATTTGAGATTTTTTTGAAAAGTTTCCTTCAAAATTTCATTTTGTAGTCTAATTTTTTCTGCATTGCTCTTTGTTATGGTTTCATGGTATTCCTCATTGTGTGAGTACTATTTTCAAGTACAAATTTAACTTTGGCTTTTGTTTTTAGGATTCGTTTTCTAAAATTTCAAAAAATTGCTTTTAGTTTTGCTAGTTTCTTCCGAACTTGTTATAATTCCTAACTGATGTAATTGTTTAAACTGATTTCTTGGATGAACTTGATGATGCTTAATAGCTAGTACTAAGAAATGGTGAACTATGCCAGTTGGCGGGATAACTTTGATCGCTGGGTAGGGTTCACATATAGCGCAAAATATAGGTGTGAAACAAGGATCCTTGAAAATTCATTACTCAGGTAGACCTTATTGCTGGAACTGGATCGTTGTTTGGATATTTGTCTTTTAATTTTGACTATTGCTCAAGCGATTTTACGCATTATGACCATATAATTTGCAGTGATTTGTGTATATATCATCATATTCTGTTTTTTCATGTTCTGCACAGGTCTTCCGACTGTATTATCTTGCTTGTTTTGCGCAATTTTTCTCTTTCATGAAGTATTTTTACTTATCACTGATAATTTTCCAAAAATTTTTGAGGTGGAGGATATTACTTAAGCAAGTCAATGATTTTTCATTCATCTTAAGTATTTCTGCATTTAAATTAGGTTATTAGAAAAACTCATCTTGTTAATTTCTTGATTGCATCTGTAAATTTTATCATTTGAAGTGAGTGGGTCCTATGTAGATGCTGAATTTCAAGAAATTTAAAATTTTGGAATTATTTCTCACACGTTCTTGGATACAATCGGTAGTAGTGATTGAAGTTTGGTGAGAAGCCGTGTGAATTAAGGTACTGAAAGTCATAATATTGAAATAATAAAAATTACGGGTAAGCTCAGGCATCGAATATGTCATCAGGAATAGCTAAAATCCAACAAATTGGTCATTTGTTGGATTTTAGCTGTACATTTTCGTGAATCTGTTTATTTCATTACTACCATTGACCTAAATTACGAGATAGTTATTAGATTACTTCATCCATCCATTCATGGAATTCAAAATGACTAATTTTGGTTTTGGTCATATTATGAATGCTTGGTATCCATGTCACTTAAGCTTCTGCATGGTTTCTTCCTTCACATATCGCATGTCTGAGATGCTTATCAATACCTTCTAAGATTTATAATTCGTAAACGATGAAATTCGATACCATTAAGGAGATCAGAATATTTAAACCTACCTTGTTGGATTATAACTGCCAATTCGGTTGTTTTCCTCTTTTTTTGTAAAGTTTTACAATACAGTATTACCAATGCTTCGTTCCGTTTTGAATTGAAATGAAAATTTTTGGATTTTGCTCATTTGGTCATATTTTGTTATTTACCTTTTTTTTTTTCTGTTCATTGTATTATGAATTTTGTAAATTTATGGAAGGGAATGTAACGTTTATATGTTTTTTCTCTTGTTTGAAGTGAATGAATGAATTTTTTAATTGTATAAAAGTGAGCGTATTACGACGCAATAACTGTTTCACTGAATTTGTCATGCAAATGAAGTGCCATTCATATTTGAACCATATTAAGGTGAAGGAATGAGGAAGGTGACAATTGTTAAGAAAAGTTAAAATGAATTGCATTTAGTTTTTTGCAGGAGTAATCTATTGATGCTTGATTGGTTGCATAGTTGGTTTCACTGCTGCTAAATGCATTTGTCTTTTCTCAAATTTTCCCGATCAACAATTCGTTTGAAACATGAAGTTCAAAAATGCCTGAAAGTTAGCTTTTTCTCCTTTTGCCAATAATAAGTACTTCGAGCAGCATTGATAAAGGATATTTATTCTTTATTTATTCTTGGATGTTTGAGATTACTTGAAATTCATTTTCAATAATTCCAGGTGGCAGTAATTGGTCCGCCAAATGTTGGGAAATCATTGTTGACAAATAAATTGGTAAAAGCTGGTGTTGCAGCGGTAAGTTCCCAGATGGATACGACACAAAAAATCAAACAGCTATTCTTACAGAAGGCTCATCACAGTTAGTATTCGTAGATAGTCCTGGAACAGTGGGCATTAAACATGCAAGGGAGATTGTAAGAAGCCCCGATTCACGAATACTGAGTGGTAAGTTGCAAGAATAGATTTGGTCTATTATTTAAATGAGGAAGATCGGAAGTAAGTTTAACATTGGATGGAATTTAATTGTTTCAAAAAAGGAAGCTATTTTGTCAGAGTATCTGGACGGGGAAAATTGGCTATTCATGATTGGATATTGTATAGTACTAGCGGTCAAATAATATAATTTGAAACAATAAAATTTAATTTCTGCATTCTAATACGTTGTAGCTCTTACTCCAAATTTTAGAAAGTCGAAAACAGAGAAATCAAGATTTTTTTTTAATAGATCCAGAACATGCAGTGGAACAAGCGGATCATATTCTAGTGGTACATGATGCTACAATATGTACTGATTATATTTTACACCGTGTGTTGCATATGCTTCATCGTTATCGGCAAATTCCTTCAAGCTTGGTGCTAAATAAAATTGACCAAGTTAAACAAAGGTTCTCTTTCAAAGTCATATTTTTTATTCATTTACATTCATTTCTCGTGTCTAAAATTTCCATAGTCTTTTAGTTGGTAAAAGTTACAACAAACCTGGAAACATTTGAAAAGTGAAGTAGCATCTTTGACAATATGATGGAAATAGTTATAGTACGAATCAAGAGTAGCTGAAGTGAATCTAGTGTTGTGAAAAAAAGCAAATTTTGGAATAATTCCTGCTCGGAATTGTGGACCTTTTAGGAAACATGCTTATTTCTCAAAAATATATAAGAAAATATCTCTCTAAAATATGCTAAGGTATGTTTATTCAAGATCTGACTTGCTATCTCTTACTCGAGTTCTATGCAATGGTGTTGTGGATGGTAAGCCGATTATTGTCAAGAAGCACAGTGGTGGACAGTTGGCCAAGTTGTGTGGCAAAATACACAAAGCATCTCATGAAATGTCACTTCATTCTCCGGAAGAAAAAGAGCAAAATGAACAATGGCAAGAAAAATATAAGTAAGACAGAGAATGCCATTTAAAATACATTATTACTGACGTTAAATACTTAAATATCATGTGAAAAAAGAGAAAAAAAACTTCCAAATGAGAATTGAATAACTTTAAATCGCTTCAGAGAACTTCTACAAAGGCCTACACACAAGTGCAGTTGGGGTGAAACCAAGCAACTTTTTGCAAATATTAAAGGATGGTCGAATTTTCAAGATGTTTTCTTCGTTAGTGCACTCACTGGAGAGGGAATAGATATGTTACGCGACCACCTTTACAAAATTGGTTTGCAGAAGGTATTTTGTACCGTTAAAGTGACACTACCAAAGTTAGGACACGAAAATATAGTAACATAGAAAATATAGTTTTTCTTTTTTTTTACGAAAACATAGTTCAGATAACGCTGCGAATACTGATAGAGTTTAATTTGACCTGTAATTGTTTTTAGGAACACATTTTTAAGCAAGAAATGCTGACTACAAAAAACCGATGATGATATGCCAAGATTCGATTCGAGCAGAATTTTTGAATCGAATACCGCCTTACATTGCATATGCCTTGAAGGTAAGGCTCTGCAAATTATAGGAATGTAAAAAAAAAAAAATTGTCAGTGAACAACACTATCATCTTGCTGTCATAACTGTTTAATAACAATGACAGAGTTTGAACTGTTAAAATTTACGTCACATTTTAAGTTAGCCTACTGTACGTTTTGAGAAACTAAATCGTTTTTTTCATACCCAAACTACAGTAAACTGTATCAGTGAAGCCCATATAAGTATGATTATTCAGTCATATAGTGTACACATTCCTGATAGTGGTATGAATGTACCTGAGTATTTCTGAACAGTTCATTTCCATAAATGATATATATATGATGTATAAATTATAAATAAACTGCATAAATGAATAATTCTACACTTGCAATGTCGAAATATTAAGATATTCTTGAAGATCGGCGAATTCATAGTTTAGAATTAAAATTCCAGATTATTTTTTCCTTATTTTACAGATAAACGTAACAGAATGGGATATGGAAGGTGAAGTGTTACAAATTGTTGCTGAAGTCGAATGTAAGAAAGATCGTATAGCACGAATTGTAGTTGGGGAGCATGGTTTAACAATTATGGCCGTTGCTAAAGAAGTTAATGAATCACTGCAAAATTTACTTGCGCAACAGTTATTTGTACGTATACTGGTTAAAGTGGAGGGTAAATTGTTCGATAGTTTACGATATAATGCACGGAGGAATATTACTAAAAAATCCGTAGCAATATAAATTACGAAGGTTGTGAAATTGACAATGGTAAGCAATACTTTTGAAACTTTAAAAATTTTCCTAATCATATTAGTAGAGAGGCAAATCAATTTTGATCTTTGAAATATTAAATGATTTAAGAGATAACTTTTAACTTTTTTCCATTTTGACCTTGTCATAGCTTCATTCTTGTAGCTTTATTAACTTGTTAATATGGTATTGATATGTGTGCACATTGGAAAGATGTATGTGATTATCTTTTCAGCAAACGGTGTACCAAAATGAATAAAAACATTATTTCAAAACATTTTGATTAGATTTCTGCATTCTTTATGCTTAGTGATCTTAGCAATATATAAACAAGGAAGAACTAGATGAGTTTCTACTGTAGGCAGCTGAAGGATAATATATATTCCTACAAACTAAGAAAGACATTTTTTATTAGGCTATAAATACAACAATGATATTTGTGGGAAAACGATGTACAATGGCAGTGTTATTTCATGATTTAGGGCAACGGATGCAACCGCTAATACATGATTTTGGTCAAATCAAATGGAAAATGCCCACAAACTATACGGATTATGCCATAATTACAGGCAGCTAATTACAATTATTAGATACATGTTAAGGAGATGTACTGAATTATTGAAAGGACTGATGGTATTAATAATCATTTGGAAGGAATAGATCAAGACAACTAAGGATATTCAGTTTTTTGACTGGCGGTGATTCGTAATCTTTGAATTGAATTTCAGAATTAAATGTGCTGAGTGCGCTCTTGTTTTTCTTCTCCCCTTGCCTTTCCACCTTATGTTTTTCCCCGATGGTCCTGAATTTCTAGTTTAACATCCAACTGGAGATGTTGAGAAGCTTCGATCAAATGAATTTAACTAAGCAAAGACTGAAGGTAAGGCCTAGTTGATCACTACATTAATTGCTCATTTACCATCGTTCTGATCAGTTGGATTCTGCGACTTAGTTTTGGAGCTTGTTGAATCGAAGAAGAGTAAAGGGAACATCCCAATAAGACATCCAGCAATTAATCCGATGCCACGCCCGAGATTCGCAACTGCCCGAACAAAGGAAGATTCGAGCTGGAATAAATATTTCATACTTTATTCTATTGAGAAAATGAATTTGCACTTTTTTACCTGTTCAGAGTTAAGTACTGGATGTTTAATGCCACATTTCGATACAATAATTCCAACATAATGTGCAAGGCCTACACCAGCAGCATCTGACACGGTATTCCCAAGAGCTGCTGCGGCCATTGTAGACAACGCAAACCAGGTACCTATTGTCTGAAAAAAAAGTCCACTGCCAGGACTACTGGTACCACCTATGGAAACATGGTTAGCATGTAATTTTAAGATCCATAGAAATCAATGAATGCTTTACAAAATATGAATAGAAAAACAAATGCAAGGTGGAGAGATATAACACAATACATGATCTTGAAAAAAGAAGATGAAACAAAACTTATCTACCTTGTCAATATATCCACCAGCAACGAGCATGATAGCATTATCAAGAAATCCAAAACCAATGAAAGGTATTGAATTTACCAAGAAAAGTTGATATGCTTGGTGACGTGAAAGAGATTTCCCTGAAGGGTGAAGGTATTTAAATTTGAATATTTCTTAAACTTGAATTCCGAAATTCAAGAAACTTAAGTTCTTAAGTTTAACTTCTCTTCCTTTTTGCAGTTGAAACTTCAATTAATCTCTTACCCTAAATAACAACAACACCTATGAGGTGGTAATATTGAAAGATTAAAATCCGAAAAAATTTTTAAACCAATTCTCAAAACATCTCAACCATCACTCTAGCATTTAGCGACATTGATCAGTATATCGCTTGATAAAGAACGGTATGGGTTGAAGTTGAAATTTTAAACTTTATTTCACCTTTCAGTACAATCTTAAGCAAAGTACAATCTTAGTACAAGTACAATCTTCAGTACAAGCATATCAGTGGTTCCACTCGTATTTATTCAGATGAACGATGAATAAAACTTTTAGTGAGCGTATTAGTATTCAACAGAGAAAATATCCAACAAAATTGTGCACCCAATTGAAACTTGAACCACCAGAGAAAGTATTATTAGTAACTCTGATCTATTGTTTAAAATCTTACCGCTTGATATATTCGGTAGAAGTTGCTTTTCGAGATTACCAAGGGCAGCTTGAAGAAGTTTCCGTTCATTTGATGTTAATGTTGAGACAAGTGTTCGTGCTTTAAATTCATCTTCAATGCGTATTTCATCAATTTGATCCATTGCACCTGAAATACTTACTGCAATATCGTAGGAATTAAAAAAGTAAAGAACTTACTTACTTCTTATATTAGTTCAAAAGTTAACTATTAAATTTATTTGCACACTATTTAGTTAATAAGCTAATCAATAACAAGCTTACAGATCTACGATCTACTAAGTTAACTAATAATGGACTAAATCAATAAAGCAATGATCATTCATTAAAAGCAATGATCAAGGGTAGTAATAACAGTAACAGTAATAATAATAATTCTTAAATTAATCGAATAATTTTAATTATCAAAATACGAAGAAAATCCAAACAGTTCATGAAATTTTGAAAATTTAAATTTGAAATCAGATTAACTCATAGAGATCACAGGGCATCAAAAGCTTGACGAACTTCCCAACAAAATGATTAAATATCGGCAAATAAAAATTACCTGACATGCGCCGATTGAAATGGGCTAATCTTTGGATGTAATGGCGGGTAGGAATCGAGCTTGATTTACCCGCGAATATGCAACCCGTGGGTAATAAGAAACTAAATGTAATAGACATTTCGTCTCCACCATGTAATTTTAGCAACGTCAAAAGTATCCACCGGAATTTTTTCTTTTCCTGAAAGTGGTTTCAAATTCCCGCGGGCAAAATATCCACATAAACAAAAAATGCCCCGGGCAAGGATTACCCTCGCAAATGACAGCACGGACAAAGCATCAATGATACAAGTGTTTGATGGCGGGTCAGAAGTCCTGGTAGCAGTGAGGTGTTGATTGGTTAAGTAATTGACTAATTAAGGAATCTTGATTAGTGTCGGTCAGAAAGTTTTTTGATCCTCACCTTTACTCTTTATTTATTGTTAGCCATTGTTTATGGGTACCTGCCATTTACCCTATTGGTAATATGGGTACCTTGCCATTTACCCTATGAGTAAAATAACAAAAAGTTTCTGGTACTTTAAAAAGAGCACCGCAATATAGAACAATTAAAATGAAGTTTAACCAATTATGAAAATTACGTCTTATCCATAATTAGTGCTCATTAATATCAGCTATCAATTTATCAATTGGGCTGATAATTTTTTGTCTTGTTAAAAAAAGATATGCATGTATACCCTGCTAGGTCTTTTCGCTATTTATTATATTGTTTCAAATTCAATTCTTGTTATGTATTATATTGAAATTTCTAAACTCATTTTAATTATTCATTACTCCTCTAGCGTTTAATGTTTTTTTTTTTTTTATTATAATTACTTTATATTCGTAATTTTATTAGAAATGTTTATTTTTGTATCACTGGCAAACTTAAGAAATGGAGTGGATAATTTAGAATAGATAAGGTCATGTTTTTGCTTTCATTCCGGGAAATTTTCTGGAAATTTTGAGAAATAAAGGAGAGGAAAAAAGATTAGATTAAAGCAATGAAATCTAATGAAGCTTGGCACTGTAGCATCATTTTACATCAAACACAGTAATAGTAAGTATCATGTTGTACTGGAAAAAATAATGGTAATCAGTTTAAGATAAGATTTATTAGAAGGATAACAACTGGGTAAGTTAAAAATTCATAGTTGTCGAGATAGTTTACTTATAGTCACTTTTTTATTAGGCTTTGCGTGTCCTTGGGAAACTAAAGAAACCTTTGGTAGACGAATTTGCTGTACTTCAAAATTCTTTCAGCATTCAATTCAGAGCTTTTTATTTGAAAAAATATACGAGATGACTTCAATGAAATTATAAATTTAACAATTGCTCGTCACTTTTCTAATACTGGTCCACATCTCCACAATTTTATTTAAATTTTTTCAAAGCACGAAATTTTCATATATATTGAAAAAAATGGCCGTTAGAGGAATATATTATTCTGGTAACTATACCTTTGAACCGGCTGCTAATCCATGTGAAAATAATCGAGGATGATGTTGAGATTCCAATTTCCATGAAATAATTCTGTATACGAACCATTAAAACTTGTCAATAGAAACACATTTTGGAAGGACTTTAATGCATTCCAGAGTAAAGCAAACAATGAATAGATGAGAGAGGAAACTCCATGAACATAAATTACGGTATTTAACCGGATGATAAACCACCGATAAGCAAACACAATTATTTCGGAATAATGTGAATGGAAAAAGATCGAAGACGATACCTGGATAAAACGACAAAGTAAATTGACCCTATCGCAGCCGATACGCCATCGATAAAATAGAACACATGAATAAAAAACGAATCGAAGATGACATCTGCATCAATAAAATCATCTTACTGCAGCTGAATAAAGAAAGAATAAACAATCCAGTATGGCGTATTCGACAAATCATTCATTTCCATAAAATTCTGACTTGACAAGAATATTCCGGAAATAATAGTCAAAGAAACAGTGAAAGCAGTGCGAATGTTATAATCATGATAACAATTTACGTCATTTAATGAACAAGGCATGAAATACCGCAAGCAGAGATATATCATGAAATTTATTTTATCTGTAACCACGTTGTCCACCGTATCCACCACGTCCTCTTCTACCACCACCACCACCACCACCGCCACCACCACCACGTCGACCAGCATGGCTTTGGTTATAATATCCTTCGTATTCTCTCATTACCTTCAGTATAAATACTGTGATAAGAAGCAAGCTAATTTGTGAGCATATAACCTTTAAATTCTTGTTTTCTAAAGAAATAATCATTAATAACATTAGATGTAGCTATGTAATAGTTCACTTAACGTAATGCTAACCAAATACCTGACTTTCGAAACCTGCACCACGACCACCACTTTTAAATCCTCCTCCTCCTCCATAGCCTCCATTATATGCGCCACCACTTTGATAACTGTTTCCACCATACACATCTTGAAAACCTCCGCCACCTTGATATCCACCGCCACCCCTCTGATAACCATATCCTCCGCCACTTTTATAATCACCTTGCTGTCTACCTGAAACTTATTCTCCAGTAAGTGCAAAAATTTTGTTAGACAAAATTGTTTCGTTCACAGAATCAAGAACATACCGCCTCGATCCGAAACGCGATCCTTTATCCATGGAGGCATTTCTGGTGGAGGAGCTCGCAATTCCGTTGGTCTGCCACCACGATCACCCGGACGATCAGTCATCAATACCTCAACAACAACAATTAATTCGAAAAGTTACTGTGGCATATGATAACTTTGAACAACAATGCAATAATTTTTTAAAGATTGCAAAAATAATTCTTATTTCAGCATTTAATATTAAATTCTCACGTACTGGTATTTATCTAAATGGCACAAAACCACAATAATTTACTCTTCCCTTTATGCAACTAATACCAATTCTTGAAGAATGAATGATATAATTCAAAGTTTGTTCTTTCATTTTACGTTGTAAAATGCATTATAATTACTAAAAGTCTCTTTCTTTTAAGTCCACTACTGATAACTGGTGCATTAAGTAGAGAAGCTATGACAGAAGAAAGAGGGACTTTTACGAATTAAGTCTGAGAGAAAAGATTTATGCAAAATTTACTTTACATTGAGCAATAAGCTAATCAGTAAGATAATTGAAGAATATCAACCTTATTTAAGCGTGATGCGGTACGTTTTCGTTCTTTCTCACTATTTATTCTGTCAACTGTTAGAAGGGAAGTGGTCGCAGCAAGTAAATCATCCATGCCAATATTGGATGTTATCGCAATCTCTTCCCGTCGAGGACGATAAATTTCGTGTAACTTATCCTAGAAAGATCATAAATAAACGATAATCTTTTATTATTTTAAGAAGATAACGTATAAACTCTGAACGGACTAATTAAAATTAAGTTTCTTGAATTTACGAAGAATAAACAAACGTTTACCTGCATTTTCTTTATACGATCAGACCAAGTGAACGATTGAATTGTAACATCAAGACGTTTAAGCAATAATAGAATTCGAGTTCGATATTCTTGCACTAATTTCTCATTTATCGCGTCGATTTTCTCCCATTGTGTATCACTCAATGATGCGGTCAATAATGGACGTGGTTTTTCCTTACATTTGTCCATCTGTTTCTCAGCCTTCAACCGTACATTTAAAAGCTTTCAAACGATTTGTTTTTTTTTTTTAAAAAGTCATCACTCTTTTCCATTGAGAAATGAAAGAATGCTAGAACAAAATTAATAATTTATCCTTCTATTAGAAATGTGAAAATTTTCACTTATATTAGCCTACAGTACTGAGAATAAAGGTAAAAAGAAAAAAAAACTAACCAAATCTTTTAATGTTGAGAAAATTTTCTCTTCTGTAATACCAGCAGGTAACTGATTCATACCAAGTGCTAAAAATGCACTTTCCAGGTGAAGCGCTTCATCACTCTTGTACTACAAATGAATACATTTGAACAAACTGATATTCATGTTTGTTGGGATAAAATGAAATATATCTCGCACAGAGAAAATATTATCAACAATCTTAATTATTGTTTAAACAGTGGAAAAAATTTTAATTGCTAATATCTTATGTCATATTGTACTATATGTTATGATCAATATTACAGAAGGAAATCCTTTTATAATAGATAATATATCCAACAAAGTAATCGATAATAGGTAAAAAAAACTGACATGGGTTAAAAAATTAAAGAACAAGGAACAAGGAATATGAACTTCAAGCTAAAATTGCAGTTAGAAGCCAAATTATGCCTAGCCAACATAATTCTTTAACGGATGTAAACTACTTCATATGAAAATGGCCTTGAAAAAGTAAAATTAATGAGTGACCTAAGTTTTACTTCGCAATAACTAGAAATAGGTTTTAGCTCTCAAATTTTCAAATAAAAATTTTAGTTTATTTTCTTAAATTATTCAGATTACTACATTTTTCATCATTTTTTGGAAAAAAAAGCACTATGAAACAGTTCATGATACGTTTTGAATTTCAATTTTCAAAAAGTAAATGACATATAAATAAAAAAGCAGAAAAACAATATCCATCCAAACGTTCTGCAAATTTTAGAAATAAAAATTTAACGGTGAACTTGTGATAAATTCGAATAATAAGATAAGGAAATTTTTAAAACAAATTGTGATAAACCTCAGGTGTTTCGACCTGCAACCGATTTAGTGCAGTCAACCGAGCACATTTCATGTGTCCAATAAGAAAATTAAGCAACTTAGTTTGATTTTCGGTTGATCGAAATCTTTCCACAACTGATCCACGTGTTAGCGCATCCACTGGACATTCTGGAATACAAATTCTAAGCTATCTTCATTCTAAGCTCTCAAATTCTCTGCTTAAACTAGTTTTCCTTGCTAACTGAAATTGAAATGTTTGAGATATCATGTTACAACTGACTTATCAACATATCTAGGATAACTTTCAAATTTCCTTTCTTACATCCATACTTCTTATCATGCCCTTAATTATGAATTACATGAATTTTCTCTCTAATCCTTAAAATATCAGTAATTTATTTGGATTTATTCACAAAAAAACACCGTCACTGCTACTTAATGCAAGAGGAGAGAAGTTGTCACCTAATTCAGATAATATTGAACTAAGTTCCAGCAAAAAAAATTCCATGTTATCGGGTCCAGTTGGTGCATGAACTGTTTCATCCAAACCATACAATGCAGATATCTCATTACACATCCATTCGATCAACTTGCAAAAACGCAAATCTTCAATGCCCGCTTTTTGTATGTCTTCTAATTCTTCCCGTGAAAAAATATCGAAACTGAAAAATACTTCCAAAATAAAACCAAATTTTCCTCCGTACACCATAAAATATAATATGGTGATTTCAAAAAAGGTGAAAAAATCGTGTATACCGGAAATCAGGGAAAGCTATTTTTAAGCATTTATTTCTAAGCATAAGCATTTATTCGACCCATATGATTCAGTTTAAATCCGTTATCAACAATGGATTTCATAAATAAATTTCAATTTAAGTAAGATAAAACAACATAACAAACTTTTAGATTCATTTACCAACTAATAATTTGAATTCACTAATTTTTTTCACGTAAACAGAATAAGCCAAAAAGATGATTGCTGTAAACAAGAAGGGAACTTCGAAAATACTATTACTATCTTTGGAATTTCATAATCAATATTATATAAAGTATTATATTCATATTACTATATCAAATGATATGATACAATCATGTAATATTAAATATGAAATGATATGATATAGAAGATTACCCAAATTATCTTTACAAAAGAGCACAAAAATATGCAATATTACATTATTACACTTACCCAAATGAAGTAATTTCACAAGCAACAGAAGATCGATTCTGCATTCTCCCATCCATTTGTACTGAAATTAAGCTCATTTGTGATAAAATGTAAGTTTTTCAAATATAATAAATTGTAATTTCCACTTCGTCTCTTTTTTAAACCTATCAAAAATTTGAATATTATACGATTAAAAACAAAATAAAAGAAACAGTAATTGTAATACAATGTCATTGTTCAGCTATAATTTAACAATAACAGTGATAATGTCAAATCCGCCACCAAAAGAGGATGAATGGGCGTTTGGTCCAATTGGTTCACCATTTCCGGATAATCCGGTACGAGTACTTGGTCAACCAAACATGTATGTGGCATTGTGGTATAAATTTGGTGTACCCATACATGGTCGAGCATGGAATAATGGTGGTGTACTGGAATGCTCATTCCCATATAAAAAGGCCGAACTAACGGGTACCAAAGATCTTGGTGGCCAAATTCAGGTCAGTTTCAGGTTATCTTATTATTGATTTCGCTCATCTTAGAAAATTCTTAAAAATATCTCTTTTAAAAAACACTCAAAGAGAATTAAATTACTAGTGCTATTTCATATTTACTAAGTGATAATTTCCCAAGTAAGAATGCCGAATTAAAATTCAAATGTAATTAAAATTCAAATGTGACTGTAATTCGGATGTGAATTTCATAATTCTTATATAAACAGCAAAATTTGTACAGTTCTTAAGGAAAATCTCATTTCTTTTTTGCACTTATAAAAAGGAACGATAGCTATCATTTCGAAGAGAAATATAAAGTAGGTAGGTATAATAATAGATAATATTTTAAAAAAGAATTAAATTTGATGAAATCCATCAAATTATAATTACCTGGCAAAATGAATGGCAATGAATTATTTCAACTTACTTTGCTCTAATACTTTGTTATATATCTTTTCATTTGCTAATTAATTCACTTTAATAACCTTTTACTTATTTATTTATTTGCTAATTGATTTGCTCTGATACTCCTTTACTCAGTTATTTACTAGCTAATTAATTTATTTGATACTTCTTTACTCAGTTACTTATCCACTAATTAAGTCGCTTTAATACTTCTTCACTTGCTTACTTACTTAGTGATTAATTAACTCTAACAGCATATATATCAAAATTTAATTCTATCAGGTACTCCAATACAAGGGAGACCATAATACGTTAGGTTTCTGGTATGAATGGATCAAGTACAAAGATCGTTTTGAAAAAACTGACATACGACAAATCGTACATTGTGGTGATTCGATGCCTATTCTATGGCAAGATCGACCAGAAGGTGCACTACTTGGTTATTTGGATAATAAAACGGAATTGGTAATAATTGATATTTTAAATTCCTATTACTAAAATATTATAAAAACAAAAAATAATACAATGAATTATATATGATTTATAATTAAAAATGGAATTTATCGCTAATGGCAAATGTTCGATTTACATCAATGAAAACGTTATTTATGTCAAACTTCAGTTTACATTAATAAAAACGTTATCTACGTCAAATAAAGGCGTTATTTACGTCAAATGCTCGATTTACATCAAACTTCAGTTTACATCAATAAAAACATCATTTGCGCTAATTTTATTTATGTTAAACATATCATTTACAACAACACTAATACTTAAGCGTATTTTCCGTATGTAATCAAATTATTAAATTCGTTAATGTTAACATTTGATCATATATTATCTAGTTAAAACCAGTATTTTAGTATAATTTTGCCAATCATTTTTAGGCACATTTTTCACATAATGGAAAAGCGGAATCATTACAAGGAACACCATTGAGTAATATGTGGATTATTGTACGTAATACAAAAGGTGGACCACCAACATGTGGTTGTAAGCAATGCTATAAACCACCACCACCAAAACCACCACCAGGACCACCACCACCACGTGTTATGATTGATGAATGGATTGATTTACGTGCTGGTGATCCATGGCCAAAAGATAAAAAACTTATCAAAGCATTGAATAAAAATCTTGATACACATCCAGGTGAAAATCCGGAACAATATGTTGCATTATGGTATCAACAAGGTGAACCTGTTATGGGTAGAATTTGGAATAATAATGGCAAGGTTAGAAAGAATATTTGATGAAGATAATTTGATAAAAAAAAAAACTTATCCATCATTATGTTTCGTTACATTTCAACAAATATATCACCCATAGTGAAACTCCTTGGCCTGACATTAGTTAGATCCATCATATGATTTAACATAAACTTAAAAATTTCAAAACACATAAAAACTTCAACTCTCGTAAAGTTTAATCGAATAAGTAAAGAAATGATGAAATAAATTCTATTGAATAAGTAACTAATCGATGAAAGGAATAAATTCTTACATATTATGAATCATTGATTCTTAAATGATAAAAGAAAAAAGAAAAAAAGATGAAATGTTTTTAAAACGAAAAGCTAAATTGAATGTCTCGATTTTTTTCTTTTTAAGTTTGATTTTTGTCTTAAGAATAGTTTTAAAAAAATTTAATTAGAAATATTTAAGGTAGCAGCTTGTTTCGGTTGGAACAACAATGAATATCGTGAAAAGATTGGTTCATTGCAAATTTTGGTAGAGCTACCGGATTTTGTCCGTGGTTATGATTATGATTGGAAATTATTTTCGGTTTGTGCATCATTTGGTGAGAAAGAATGGTTTCCGGTATATGTCGATCGTAAAGGTATTATATCACCATGTGTATGCACAATTGATGGCAAAGAAATTCTCGGAAAAGTAAGCAAAGAAATTATTATTACTAAATTTTTAATATTTCACAAAATTACTCCAGTAAATTAGTCTATAAAGTGTTATGGTCCCCTAAAAGTTCCCTACAACAATTATCGATGAAGATTCATGAAAGTAAAAGTATTTCTGGATGTTAACTGGTAACTGATATAGTCGAAGAGTATAGATAGAGTTGCTATCGAAGTAGGATATATCAGAAGTTCTGGATGAAGCTATCCATAGAGGATATTTTAGATGTTCCGGATAATAAAGCGTTCTAGAATTTATCAGAACTTGGAGTTCCGATGAATTAGGAATTATTCGCGAAGTTTTTAAAATTACAAATCTTATAATTAAAGACGAATTCTTGTATAAAATATAAAAACCAAAATGTAAGGAAAAATGCTAAGAGTTCTACATAAATTTGAAAAAAATTACAAAACTAAAGAAATTATTTTAATTTTATAAAAATTGCCATTGGAGGACTGAAATTCGAATAGAATTTGAAAAATGCTTGGGGATGTATTTGGGTTTATTTCAATACATTTATGCTTCATCATTTCTACAAATTTCAGGTTGACATCCGTAATGAAAAAGCATCGGCAGCGTTTAGTGGGAAAGAGCATGTAATGGTTGGACCATCGGTACAAAAACAAATGGTACTCTGCCGCAAAGCAAGGCCTGGCTACAAATTTGATTAATCCAAAATATCCGTCCTCCAATGGTCACTCCAAACTAACTTTTAACTTATTCATTCCCATGAACAGATGAAACAGCTAATAATTCTACTTTTTCTCTCCATCAAAAGAAAAAAAGGAGAAGTAGCAATATATAAGCCGGGAAAGATTCAAAGAATTGACTAATTCTTCTCGCATGGAAATCTGATCTCAAGAAAACATTTTTAATGACCAATTTTCTTAAGAGAACAGAAAGAATGGTGGTCTTTATCTTCCTAGTCTCAATTCATTCTCAGTGAGTGACAAATGCTGATTTTCACTGCTATGGATTGCAATATCAATTTAAAAGTAGCAAAATGATGATAAAATAATAAGAAAAACATCTTATTGTTAATATTAGAAATAGTTCATTTACTGGTAAACCAAAGCAAACCCTGAAAATGCTAGTGTGACGTATAATTTTATTTACCATCGCCATCGGAAGTTAAGTCGATGAAAAACTGACATATTTTCCAAAGCACTAATTATCAGTTCATTCCATCATGAAATGAAAGTACTATTTGTGGAAGAAATCAATTCGATCACAAATGATAAAGGAGAAGAGTGAAATGGTAGAACTTCAAGATGGAAGTAAAGAATTCATTTGAATGGCACTGCCACATAGAATATTGATGCTGAAAAAATTTTACAAGAAGTGTAATGAAATCAAAAATTTACAAGAAAATTTACATTTTTCTTTACCCCTTCTCTTTCTCAGTCTGAGAAAAAAGCTATGGAAGCCTAGAAATCTTTCGAAATTCAAGCAACATTGTTTCGAAAATTTGAAACTTCTAAGAAATTCACTAAGGTAGGAATTGAAATAAATCATCATTTAAGTATGGAACACCGTACAGCACTCAAAAAATAATCACTGTAGAAACCGGGAAAGGAATCATGATATCAGTTGTCACATATAATGAGAGATACACCATTGAATTATGATCCTGCCGGCTGTTCCACCAGCTCTGCTGGCAGCGGATTCTTTGGATGTTTCGATTCGAAATGCTCTTTGTAACTCCTTTTATCCATCATCTGCGCCTGGAAATAAGCAACTGGTTGGTTGCAACTTTAGTGAAATGAATTCTTTTGGAAGGATTATCTTTCAGGAACCTGAATCACAAATGATTGTTGGTGATTTGATTAAGAAAAAGCCTTAAGTGGGCACAAAAAAGATTACAGCACAATTTTGAACAATTGGTGCTTGAACTGAAGGGCGAAAATATGCTAATTAGCAAATAAAAAATTCCTGCCAAAAGCAAATTCCTTACTTCAAACTAAAAGTGAAGAATGATAGAGCCAATGTCTGAAGCAAAATTGAAATATAGAACCTAATAAAATACGATAAAATTAGAAAAACGGTTCTTGGATAATCAAAAAATAAGTATCTACTGTTGTTAAGTATCTATAAAGAAATTACGTAATAAGCGCATATACACATCGAATTTCAGTTAAATTTGCTGAAACTTACCATACAAACAGTGCATTTATAGATAAGTGATTTGAGGCACGCACCCTTCTGATCATGCCCGATCGATTTCTTCAATGCTTCTTGCTTTTTTAAATTCTTTGCCTTAGCTTGCATCTTCATATGGCCACGCGTCATTGCTGCTAGTTGCTGTTACCGGTGCTAAAAGAGTATTATCTTAAGCGTAGAGGCAGTTTTGATGAATTGACGTAATTACTATGACATTTTCTGTAAAAATCCTTTCTTAAAATCAGCTAAGAGACATGATAATTTCACTCAGAATTATCGAAATTGAAAAAAATTAGCAAAAATTAGCAGAAAAATTAGCAGAAATTTTCCTGCATAAACCAAATCCGATCTATCTTGGGCGCTACTACTGTGCAGCACTCCAATTTATTATTCAATTTTGTGGAAGCATAGCTTCATCCGTAAAATTCTCCCTGCCGAAATTTATTAGGTACTATTACAGTAACCCGAATATTTTATGCAATATGCTAGTTATGTTTAAGCTGAACTGAGCAATTTTTGAGTTAAAATTATTTGGTCTAGTACCAAGGAACTACTAAATTTTTAAACTGGAAAAAAAATCATTTATTCATTCCTTTAGTCGTAGCTGAAAACCCACATTTAAATATTATACAATTGAAAGAAGTTAATTACCACAAAAAAAGAGATTTGAAACCACTGCCTATAATTGCAATGATTAAAACGGCCGCCAGCATTAAATGAAGTGTAACCACTTAATAAATTAGTACTGTCTTACGTTGTTTATCACTTAAACAAACAGTACCGCCATGTTAATAAAATTATGAGACAAAAAACATAATTCATAAAAGAGAGAGAGAATATACACAACTGCACTATTAATGATGCAGGAATTATGATGGAAATCGATAATGTGCCAGCGAGATACATGGACAATACAAGGTAATCTCTGATATATCACAAATAAAAAATGCTTGTTATAGTAATATCATTCCAATATATTTATGCTTGAACATCAACCAATTCTGGTGGAAGTGCAGCTTTTGGATGTTTCGACTGGAAATGTTGCTTGTAAGTTTTCGGATCTGGCATCAACGCCTACAAATATTTTTTAGTGCTTGATTTTTTCGACTACATTTCTAAATTTGCCAAAAACTTGAAAATCAACACCGGATCACCCTCTACTTATAGTAAATCCCTTGCCAGGAAACAGTTTGCTCTGGAACCATTCTACGACGACGATAGCAATTTTAGAATGAACTATTTAGTATGAATCTGAATCGGCCAACCTTCTACCCGATTTGTTTTTCTTTTCTTTTTTTTAACCCATTTCATCCGTACGATGAACTACGATAACTTTCAAATTGGTGGATAAAACTCTGCGTTATAAACTATGCTGTTTAATACAAGTCAAATGATGAAATAAAATTAAATGGGAAAAAAACTAATGTCATCAGTTTAAATTACATATAAAAGGTAAAAGATTTGAAAAAACTATTCATTACTACGTAAAAGTATTGATCATTGAAAATCTATATCGACTTTTAACGACTTTGGTAATTAACCTCCAGAAGAAAACTTTACCATACAGACAGTACACTTGTGTGTAAGTGCTTTTATAGCAGCTGCTTTTTGATCACTTCCCTTTGATTTCTTCAACTCCTCTTGCTTCTTCAAGTTCTTTTGCTGTGATTGAAACTTCTGGTGGCCACGAGCCATCGAGGTCCTTTTTATTTCAACACTAATACGCTGAAAATATCTAAGTAAAATTATTAGAGATTATCTGCCTTCTTTTTTGGGTCATGAAGATGAATACCCCAAATAATTCCACACTGATAGGGGAATTTAAAAAATCAAAGTCTCACATTGATCGATATCCTATAGTCTTAAAAAGACACAAAATTTAGATTATAGGTTGAGAAAAATATGTGACTTAAACCAAATAGATATTACTTATTCCTTGCTATGCATGAATAAGGATAGGAAGGAGAATTACTTTCTACAATAAGTAATACCATTAACAAAATAAATTTCCTAAAGTTATTGTGGCAAGCCTGAACTTGTTAAACCAACTCAACTGATGAACTTGAAAAAAAACAAATAGGAAGCTCTATTAGAAGTGAAAATACTCATTTCAATAAGTCCATATAACTTTTCGACTCAATGAAGTTTGAAATTTCATACTGAAAAAAATCTTAACCTATCCCAAACACAAAATAAATGACGAAGATAGTTCCGAGACAATGAATTTTTCAAAAACAACAGTAGTAATTAATTTCCCCACCAATAAATACAAAGAAAAAAGAATAAAATAACTTGGTCATTCATAATAATTAATTCCACTTAGGGAAAATGATTGGGCAAAGTTTTCATACAAAAAAAACTTCGTCGTCCAAAGATAGGCTTATCTAACGACGCAAAACTCTGAAAAGTAGACTGAAATATTCGTTTAATCTTTCTCCTACTATAGTAATAAAATCAAGCTAACATATTCGAAAAGAAATCATTGAAAACCCAACAGTCCATCAACCATTTCATCATGGGAAACTAGAAGTAATATTCAACTATTATTAATCAAGCAAAAATTCAATCTGTTATTACGAAATTTTGAAAATACACCCCAAACACATTCGTTCTCACAATAAACAAAAATTGATTCAAAACAACGCTACACCTATTGGTAAGTGCATATATCATCAAACACAATTTTGAATTAAAAACAACCGATTGGGATAATATTAATATTAATATTAACGGATGAATGGAAAATAAATACAAATATGATAAGAAGCTAGTAAGCTCTTATAATAGCAACAAAATAAATTGTGTAAAAGCTGACAACATTTATTTTACAAAAATATATAGAAATATTTCGTGAACGACAAACAATAGAAACAGATAACAAACGTTTGCG